AGAATGTACATTAACAAATAAGATAGAGAATAAATAAAATAATAAGAAGAAATGAAAGAAGATTAAATAAAATATATAATATCATAATAATGAAATAATAAGAGATGAAAATGAATTAGAAATAATAAGAAATATTATGTATTATGAAATAAAGAAAATAATAAAATATAAAAATGAAAATTTGAAGAGATTGTATAAATCATGTATATGAGAATAAATAAAAATGAATTTAATGAAATCTATACTACTGGAACAAAAAAAGAACAACTCATCATATAATAAAATATATAAATATTAAATATTAAATTTAATGAAATATATATTAATAAATTGAAATTAAATAATATACATAATTATTTAATAAAATACAATAAATATGAAATGATAAGAAATTAATAATTAAAATATTAAAGAATATTAATATAAAATAAATTGATTATAAATAATTTAAATTATTCCATGAAAATTGTATATTTGTATAAATTAATAAATTATTAATTAATTTTGATAGTTAGATAACAAATTAAATATGTTTATTATAAAATAATTATATCATTTAAATAATTTATTATATTTATTAAATATTAATATTTTTATTAATATTATTATTTATTTATTTTAATTAGATATTATTTATATGAAAATTATGATTTAAATAAAAATATTTATAAAATAATATATTTAAATTTAAATTATATAATTTATTTTATATTTATTTATTAAATTATTTATTTTATTTATAAATATAATAAATAATAAATGAAAAAATATCTCATTTTATTTTTATTTGTAAATATATATTATTATATTATTTAAATAAATTAAAATAGTAAATATTATTATTTTATTAAAATTTTTATAAATTTATAATGATTTATTAATTTTATATTTATTATTATTATAATTTTATATTTATAAATAAAATTATTTTTAATTTTCATTCTTTGAGATATTTATTTTAATTTATTTATTTATGATTTTATTTATTATTATAAAACTTATTATAATTTTTTATTTATACTATTTATTTATTTTTATTTATTTCTTTTTTTATAATTATTTTTTTATGGTACAATTTAATAATAGTGTGATAAATCATTTATGGTATATTATTAATTATTTAATTATTTATATTTTATATAATGTTTATTAATTATTTTATTGTTTAATATCTAAAACAATTATTTTCTTTTCTCATTTATTATTTTTAGTTTTATATTTAAAAAATAAACTCTGATTTATTATAGTTTATTATATTATCAAATATATATTTATTTTTATTTTATATTCATTTAATTAATACAAAAGAATAAATTATATATTCATTTATATTAATAAATTATTAGAAAATAATTTTTAAATAATAAAAACATAAAAATACTTATATTTTTCATTGGAAATGAAATAAAAATATAATAACAATATAAAAGAAGAAGATATTTAAAAAATACATAGTCATTTCATTGTGAAATATTAACTTTTT